CAGCTCCTTTCCAGTGGACGTGTAGTACAGTGTCATCTTCTTTCTTCATAACCGAAATCCCACTCCGTTTCTTCTCGGAATTAAACGTCTCGACATGCAAAACGGTACAATCCCGTTTCAGTTTCTCCATATCCATACCCAAATTCGTTACCGCCCATGACAAAATCGCCTTTTCGGTTGGACTACCGGAATACTCGATTCCGGTTCCGGAGTTGTAAACGGTACCGGTTGTATTTAAACCGACTCCTTGATGGTAAAGTCCGATAACTTGCGTATCTATTGTATTGGAGTTGGAGGAATTGTCTTCAATGAGATCGAGACCGAGCCAGAATTTTGTAACTTTCATTTGGTTCATGGTTAAAGTCCCGGTTTTATCGGTGCATATAACAGTGGCGGAACCCATGGTTTCACAGGCAGACAACTTTCTAACCATGGCCTGATCCGCCATCATTCGTTTCATGGAGTAAGCGAGCGTGAGTGTAACAGCTAGCGGTAATCCTTCTGGGATCGCCACCACGACAATCGTCACCGCCGCCGCGAAAATACGCGTAACGGAATTGAGTATATCGTTCGTATCTGTCCTTTTCCCGTTGTATTCCCGATTCCCGTGTTCATCTTCTGTGTTTCCGGTGAAATACCGGATTAACATGACCACGAGAACAAGGAAAGCAACCGCAAGACCGACTTTCCCGATTGAAGACGTGAGTTTATTAAGACGAGCTTGTAGCGGCGTTTGTTCGTCGGAATCACCGGTTACGGAGCTCATCATCTTTCCCCAAGCGGTGTTCATTCCGACCGATACCACAAGCATTCGGCCATGCCCGTCGGCCACTTTTGAACCGGAAATCAAAAACGGATTCCGGATGGAATCAATGTCTATATGATCACTTTCTCCGGTCATGCTCGATTCATCCACAAGCAAAGAGTAACCATCGATGAACAATCCGTCAGCCGGAATCTGATCTCCGATGTTAAGAATCACAACGTCTCCAACCACCACATCGAAAATCAATATCTTTTGTCGCCTTCCATCTCGAATCGCATCGATTTTTATATTATTACTTATTTTTGATAACTTGTCAAACTGTCTTTCTTGCCGGAAGTTACTAACCGCTGAAACAGCAATAACTAAAAAAACCGCCACGAAGATGCTCCCGCCTTCGTACCACCCTTCCTTGGCCCCTTCTTCTTTGATTCCAAATCCAAGCGAAAGTGCTGCACATGCGAGTAATATCAGAATCGTGGGGTCCTTAAAAGCCTCCACCACAAAGTAAACAAACCCTTTCGGGGGTGGTTTATTGTAAGTATTGGAACCGAATGCGGTTTTTCGTGTTTCCATCTCGGAATCACTGATTCCATGCTCGAGATTGGTCCGTAGAGATTCAGCCAAGCCCGTGACACCGTTTAACTTTCCAAGGATCTCCAAGTCTTTGGATTTGACCAAATCGGTGAGGTCTGTTTGGTCAATGCTTGCGAATTGGTGGATAGAATTTGGGATGCTGATTTTAAGAGCAGTATATGAAGGTGTTGCGACTATACTGGAAATAGGGTAGCGGGGAAGTTTGGCGAAGGATAGCATAGTGTTTGAGAAGTAAATGGAAAAGTAAGCTCGACGCCATCTTTTTTGGGCTATAGTAAGTGTAATTGTGTTTATGTTATATAGCATCCCTCCAATGTCACATTGGGATTCAATTTCGGAAACCATTTTTTGGAAGTTTTTGTATGCAAGCCAAAAGGATGCTCAGTTGAGGATATGATGAGATGAGATGGAAGAATTTCAATCTTAGTACCGGTAGCTTGCGTCTCTTATAATACATATATGCTTTACGAAAGTACAAGGAAACTGCATAAGAACCCATTTGTTGAAAACAGTCGTGTTTCTGATATTTATACATTGGTTTTCATTAAATTAAAATATTTCTATCATCTCTGTGTTTTCTTGGTTATTAAATGACATCCATAAATAAAATAAAAATGAACACCTGGTTACCTAAAAGGACAAGTTAACAATTTATACGTGTTAAATACGTGGTCTTTTTTTTTTTTTCATAAATAAATATTACCTGATTGTTTAAGGGAAAAAGGAATAATTTAGTTGTCGGCCATGGGCAGTTCGGCAAGATTTAGGAGTGTGTTAACTCCGTCAAAACAACCGCCTTCCCATTGGATTAGTGCTGCCGTTTTCGGACTTGCGATGTTGGTTTTTAGTGTATTTTTGAAGCTCTTAATTAAAAATAATATAATGTATGTTATAATTTTTTAGAAATTAAGTTAATATGCTAAACAACAACAATGTAAAATAACTAGAAGTCAATGTTTTAAAACCCGGGTTTTTGGTTGATCCGGTATATGATGATCGGTTCACGCGTCAACCGGTTCAACCGCCGGGTCAACCCGGTTTATGGTTTTTTTCTATTTTTATATATTTTTACTTTCATGCATAATGCATAAATATATAAAACCAATAATTTAATGCTCACAAAGTTTAAATATTTAAAAGCATTGAAAAACATTGAAGAAACCGTAAACGGCTCGTTGTTTTGGCGTTCGCTACTTGTTTTCAACTATCCAAACCCTATTAAAACAGGTCAATCCGGTTTTAACCGGTTCGACATAAGCGGTTGAACCGCGGTTTAGGGAAAACCCGACCGGTTCGATCCGGTTCGTATTTTTACAAAAAACCGGTCTCAATTGACCCGCCTTCTATCCCGGGTCACGGTCCAACCGGTTGAACCGGCCGGGTCGACCTGGGTTTTAAAACATTGCTAGAAGTAGAGTTGCATAAGAAAATGGATTTTAAACGATCCGGATAAAACCGGCACTAGGGCAATCGGATGATCCGTTCTCCGTCAGGATTTTTGTTTGGAAATTGGAACTCGAAGGATTTTGGATTAAAAAAAAAACAAATTATTAAAATTGTCTCTTTGGTTTGTCAAAATTTCGTGTTTTGTCTCTAAATTTTTTTTTCTTTCTGAAAGTCCCTATAATTTGTTTTATTGCGATTTTTATTCCTGATCAACATGAAAACATTTTTTTGCCCTTTATATTTTTTCAGTCTTTGTTTCTTATTTATAATTAAAAAAAGTAAATTACATATTTTATAGATATGTGGGGCCCAATCTCACATTCACTCCCACTCCCACCACCACCATTGAAAACCACCGGTGCCCATCGTATTCCACCGGAGGCCACCAACGACCTCCGAAAACAACCGAAATCCGCTGACGACCTTTGGAAACCTGAAATCATATTCGAAATAATCAAATCCACCACCACTCGTACCCTCTTTCACCTGTCTTTTACCTCAGGCAGCCTCCACCATTCACTGTCGATACTCCCTTGTCACATCTTCTAAACACAACCACTCACCACCAAGTCACCAACATCAAATTCAAACAAAACTGAAATAAAAATCAAACTGAAAGCAACAAATTCAAAAACACAAGAGAAAACACACACAATTTAAGCTTGATCAAGCACCAAAATAAAGGACATTAATGTTTATTTAAGAACTTCCATCTATGAATAACATTTAAGTTGCAAAATTGCTTTTTTTTTTTTTTTTTTTTTCTAAGATTCATTTTCCATCATCACCTGTAACTCCAAAATCACAGAAACAACATGTTCATAAATAGAAAATTTTGTTTTTTGATTATGGGATTCAAATTCCCTGTATATAAAAACAATTCAGATTTAGAGAGACCGAGAGGGAGGAGCAGAAAGCGGTGAGGAGGTAGATCAGCCCGAACGAGATAGGGAGAAGGATCCGAAGACCTTGTCTGAACATTTTGTTTGCAGATCTGGAAATCCTTCTATTCAGTGATAAGATCTCATCTGATTCGCCATTCGTCACTAAAGACCACCACCGTCATAAACTCGTCGGTGTGAGAGAGATGCCTGAGTGGGAAGTCTGGTGAGAAGGTAACTGGTGGTAGACGTACGTCGCCGATGATGGGTTATCATGATGCTTTTTATGTGGAACGAATGAGAGATTTTGATAAGGGGCTGTTATAGGAGATGATGGGTGCGAGTGGGTCCCAATCTTTATTAAACATTTTTTTTATTGAATAAATGGAAAAAATGTAAGTGTATTATAGTCTTTTCAGGTGTGTTAGGGATGAAATTCGTAATAAAATCAAATTATAGGGACGATCTAAGTGCAAAAAAAAAACATTAAGGACCAAACATTAAATTTTAACAAACCACAGACACCATTTCAATAATTTCTTCAAAAAAAAAAATCAACTTTTTGTTTCTCACACAATGAAATGCATTTTCAAGTTTTGGCATGATAACTCATCATCTACACATGTTGGATTTAGATGCGTACAATATTTCTAGTTAGCCGACTCCTCTTGTTCTTATTTGCCACATGTAATGTCCATATTTGTTTTGGTTAAATCTTGATTACAACAATATCTTATTGTTTAATATAATTATTTATGTTAATTGCATTGAAACCCATCTTAATATTACAAATATCTAACTTCTAATTAGATTATTTATTATTAAATCAGGAGTTTAAAACGACAAAAGATAGTATATATTTTAAAACAAAGGAGTTCGCGTGGAGATGAAAGGTCACCAAACGAGCAGTGAATAGACGGAGGTCCGTCGACGGAAGACCAACAACACAACCCAAAGGAACACATGAATCACGAACTACTACGTGTCGGGGTTCCCTCACAGAACTAAAAAGGAGGAACTAAGAGAACCCTTTAGCAGATTTGGGAAGGTGGTGGATATATAATTTGGTTTAAAGAAAGATTATCTCAAAATGAATTTTGGTTTTGTTAGATATGTTGGTATTATAAAACCCCAAAGATACAGAGATGAAGCTACAAGGAATCAAGTGCAGAAATAGAAACTTGGAGGTAAACATTTCAAAACATCAACATAAAGATAATCAATATCACAACCATGAAACATGTCGCCAACCTACAATACGACAAAACATGTAATCTAACACGTTTCATGGTGCTCCATCTCATTTCGAAGGAATGAGAGGTCAGAGATCATATGCTCAAGTTATAAAAAACATGAACGGAAAGAAAACAAATGAATATGTCACATTGATCACACTTAACCCCAACACGTCCATGAAGGAGTGGCTCAATAAAGGTGTGCTAATCGGTGAAACACTTAGTCTGGACCACATGGCTAATCTCCATGCCTCTGGGATCATGAAGTAGGAAACAAAGTACCTTCGAGGTCTAAAACTCGCTATACGATTTAGATGGTCTGTAGACGCAAATGAGTACTTAAAGGACAAAAATAGGTGGAATGATTGGTTCAAATGGCGCAAATGAGTACTTAAAGGACAAAAATAGGTGGAATGATTGGTTCAAATGGCTGGTCAATGCAGATAAATATGATTCAGATTACGAAAGAGTTGCATGGCTAAAGATTATTGGTGTTCCTCTACCACTATGGGATGGAGACAATTTCTCAAGAATTGCTAGCAGGTTGGTAAGGTTATCAACCCATTCGATGGGATATCGAACATGAGTGTCACACCCCCGGACCAGATGGCGGAAACATCCGGGGGCTTGGGTGACTTCATACTTACAGTATCACCATAGAGTATATAATGGAAACATAACATCATTATCATCACACATGTAATATTACAATTGTAATTAGGTTACATTGAGTATTGTTTTTCAATATTACATGCCAAAATATCCAAAATATGATGAAAACAAAACATAGCAAAATATCCAAGTTTTCTTGTCAGCCAACCTGCTCAATGGTTCCCTAAGAATACAAGTTAATTTAAAAATGTCAACATATATAATGTTGGTGAGTTCATAAGCATGTTGAATGAAAATGTTTTGTATTATTTTGTAAACACCAGAAAATCCGATATTTTTTGAAAAATCGTTTTATAATGTTTGTGTCTGATCTTGTACTAATGCATGTGTGCTAATGTTTGCGAGAATGTATAGAGAATATAGAGGGAAAGCCCCATACAACCTGATGTTGTCTGCAAAAGAGAATATAGAAAGAGTGACCACAAGCAACCCGATGTTGTCTGCGAAAGAGAGTGTTGGAATCTTAACACCCGAGGTTGAGTACTAGTGCGTGCATGTTACCGTATTATCCATAAAAGCAAAACTTTATGTAAATTTTATAACGTTAAATCCTTTAAGTGAGCCATTATAACCATACTTGAAAATGACAATTTCATCTGTCTTGACGTCTGGAATACGTCGACTCGTTTAAGGTACGATTTGTCACCCTAGACTGGACTAGTTTAACTATAGCGAACAAATCAGGTGTGGGGCGTCACCGTCGTATAGATCTATACACAAACTTGCGTTCTCACTCCGTGAGACTCTGTTTATAACTATATGCTACAATTATACACTCAATTGTGAGGCCCATATTCAGGGTTCTCGGCCCATAATGTCCCAATAGAGAATCTTAGTCCATACTACATTTGAGCAGGGTTGTTAGGGTTTCAAAACCACAATTGAGTATCTGAGTTGTATTGAATTAGGTTTTGGACTTTACTCAAGAGTTTTGATTTAAATGGATGTTTTTGATTGAGCATAGAACATGATATCTATTTAGATTACAAGTCTTACAAGAGTTGATGTTCACATGATAACATAATTTCCTCGCTAGAAATGCTGGTTGTGACAATGAGAGACTACTCCATGGATAAGGTCGGAGTCCTCACGTCAACAAGAAGGTGGATAAACGAGGAAATCACGATCAACTCTAATGGCCAGGAATTCAAGATCGGTGTTATGGAGTATATGGATGATTGGTCTCTATTTAAACCAACCTTGTTTGACAAAGTAGAAGAATCAAATGAGGAAGAAGACGACCAAGAAGGAATTTTTGAAACATGGATGAAGGACGTGACAGATGAACCAAAAGAAGGAGATATACGCTTAGACGACACAATGGCGATTGGCGGCTGACTGAATAACAACCGCACTCCAGCGGTCGTAGTATCACTGTCAAAACACCGGTAACTGGGGAGATCGGATGCGAAGAGTCACCAATTAATGTACCGTTGGGGCCAATTCACGAGTCAACACGTGATGATGTATTAACCGGTCAAAATACAGGTGTGTTGTTTGATATCCCCAATGAGGTTACTAGGTCACAACAAGAGTCAGTTGTACACATTATGTATCACACTTCCACAATTGGGCCACCTATAAACCATATTCCTGGAGCATTGGAGAATTTAGTCCCACTTGGATGCTTTGGGCCATTCCCAAATAATACAGCTGTAATGCCCGAGTGTTAGGTATTTCCTTTTGTTGCTTATTCAAATAATAATAATAATATTATAATTTTGGGAGGAGGGCCATACGTTGGGCGTACATAGTGTACGCACGGCGTACATGGGTGAGGCGTGAAGCGGGGGAAGCCCCTGGGTACGCTGGCCAGATGCAAACCCTAAAATTTAGGGTTTGCACCTTATTTAAACGTCTTAATTCCCTCCCAACCCTCATTCTCTCAGCCTCCACTGTCCCTAAAGTGTTAAACGCGAATCCTAAGCCACTTGCATGCATATTGAGCTAACTTTGAGCATTTTTGGTGATATTTGGTGATTTTGAAGGAGTTTGAAGGAGTACGAACGTGAAGAGGGCTTGTAGATCCAAAATTTTGGCATCATTTCTGACTCATTTGATGTATAAACCTTTAACCTTGACCATTACATGCTTAGATCTAGTTTTGGGGTGTTTTATGTCATATTTTGTAGGGGTGAGCAAACCCAAACCAAAAAACCGAGAAACCGACTAAAACCGACAAAACCGAAACCGAAAAAACCGAAATCGAAGCAAAATCGACGGTTTAGGTTTGATATTTTTAGAAACCGAAAAATCGGGTTCGGTTTCGGTTTTTAACCAGAAACCGACCCATTTAACCCGAGAAACCGACCCATACTTAAAACCAACAAACCGTCCCAAGAAACCGACCCATCCAACCCGAGAAACCACCCATACTTGATTGTGTTTTGGTTGTAATAGACTATTTCGGGCTTTAATTGTAACTTGTAACTGATTATTTATTGTAAAACTCATGTTTTTTGAAGTAGTTAACTTCAATTTGTTATTTTTTGAAGTATCTAACTTGTTGCTTCATTTATGGAAAATGGGTTAAAACCCAAAACCCATGGGTTTAAACCCAGAACCCGTGAGTGTATGGGTTGAACCCAAGAAACCGAAAAACCGCTCAAACCGACCTCAGAACCCGAGAAACCGAACCGACCAGAAACCGATCCTATTGGGTTCTAAAAACCAGAATCCGACCATTTATGGGTTGGGTTGGGTTTGGGTCCAAAACCGACCCAAACCGACCCATGCACAACCCTAATATTTTGGTCCCATAGTTGAGATTCCTTGAGTTTTAGAAGTTCCAGTATGTATGAGCTGTCCTTTTAGGGTCTTGGAGGTGTTTGAGACCATAAAAATCAGACCTTGATGGTTTATCCTCAACCATGCAAGTGCTAGATAGAAACTAAGTGAGCATATGGACTTAATTTGTGTCTTAATCCCCATCTATGCATGCAAAAGCATAAACTTTATAACTTTATGGTTTAGGATGTCTTTAGGGGCCTGGATCTATGTTTTGGACGTTAGGAATTAACAAATTAAGTCACATGGAAGTGCTTAAGTTGGCTGGATGGTACGCCGGGCGTACTCCTAGTACGCTGCGCGTACTGGGTCAACTTCCCGTATCTGGTCAAGGCCAATGTACACTGGGTGTACGTGCCAAGTACGTATCTGGTCAACCTCCATCTATCAATAACATTTAAGTTGCGAAATCGTGTTTTTTCCTGAGATTCAATTTCCATCATCACTTGAAACTCCAAAATCACAGAAACCGCATGTTCATAAATAGAAATTTTCGTTTTCTGATTATGGGATTCCAAGTCCCTGTATATAAAAACAATTTAGATTTGGAGAGACCGAGAGGGAGGAGTAAAAAGCGGTGAGGAGGTAGATCAACCCAAAGGAGACGGGGAGAAGGATCCGTAGACCTTTTATGAACATCTTGTTTGCAGATCTGAAAACTCTTATTTTGGCGATGAAGATCTCATCTGATTCGTTGTTACTGAAGACCACCACCTTCGTAAATTCGTCGTTGTGGTCCGTTATTTGAGAGAGATGCCTTAATGGAAAGTCTAGCGAGAAGGTAACCGGTGGTAGATGAACGTCACCGATGATAGGTTATCATGATGCTTTTTATGTGGAACGAAGGAGAGATTTTGATAATGGGACGTTATAGGAGACATGGGTGCGAGTCGGGCCTAATCTTTCTTAAACATTTTTTTTTGATTTTATTGAATAAATGAAAAAAAAAGAGTATTATAGTCTTTTCCGGTGTATTAGGGACAAAATTTGCAATAAATCATACTATAGGGACAGTCTAAGTGCAAAAAAAACATTAAGGACCAAACATAAAATTTTAACAAACCATAAGGACCATTTCAATAATTTCTTCAAAAAAAAGTAACTTTTTGTTTTTCACACAACTGCGTTTTCATGTTTTGGCATGATAACTCATCATCTACACATGTTGATTTAGATCCGTACAACATTTCTAGTTAGCCGACTCCTCTCTTCTTATTTGTCCACATGTAATGTTCATATATGTTCCGGTTAAATCTTGATTACGACGACAATATCGTATGGGTCAATTACTAATCTAGCCTAACTGAGGAAGTAATTAACTATTTTTAGCCAAAAATTAGGAATTATCCTAAAATATCCCACGAAACCGTAGGTAATTAGAGTGGACTACTGTTTCGCCAAATGGTCTACTGTTTTGTGATAAGTATAATTTTTTTTTTTTTTTTTTTTCATTTTGAACTTGTAAAACCGTATTTTTTTGGAAACTTACGGTTTTGTTAATTTTTTAAAAGTTTTTTTTTGAAAAAACAGTATGAAATCGTAACTTATATATGACGGCTTACGAGGCTACAACAAAATTAAAAAAAAATGAAAAAAAAAATATTAAAACCGTAGGCTTCATACGAAACCTACGGTGTACAAGTCCACATTGAACAATCTGTGCACTGTGCACTTGTACACCGTAGGTGTCGTATGAAACCTACAATTTTAATATATTTTTTTTCGTTTTTTAAAAAAAAAAGTTATCTCAATATACAAAAACTATTCCTAATCAATAATACGGTAAAATTTTGATAAAAAATCAAAGTACTTCGTTATTCTTCGAGTGTTCCATTGAGAGGAAAAAGTAGATAGAACCAATAAAATAATAGTCAAAGTAACATAATCTGAAAAATTATACATTATACACTATGGGCCAATGAGCCGGGAAAGAGTAGATGAGCCGGGAAACAGTAGCTCATTGCCACCAAAGAATAGTTTTCTATTGTTGACCATAATCAACTTGCGTTGACCATAGTCAACCCTGGCCAAGCTACTATTTCATGGACTACTGTTGGTTAATGAGTTTTTTTGGTTATTTTTAGATAGATAATTAATGTTTTAGTCTAGATTAGTAATTTCATTGTTTAATATAATTATTTATGTTAATTGCATTGAAACCCATCTTAATATTACACCTATCTAACTTCTATATATTTGTCTTAATTTGTAATATAATATTATTTTGCAATTAATACGAAGTAATTAAAAAGTTTAATTTCATATTAATTTGTAGCAATAAAAGAATTAAAAATGATGATATCTTTCATTACTTTTTATGTCATTTGTTTTTTATTCTTTATTGTAATAAACATTACAAATAACTAAAACAAATGTACAAACATTAATTTTTAAAACTTAAAATTTGGTTCTCAACATTTTTACAAGTTCATAAAAATTACAAATATTAAACATTAAGCAAAAAAATGGGTAATTACTAATCTAGCCAAATTAAGAGGGTAATTACCAATTTTTAGCCAAAAATTAGTAAATGGCCAAAAAATAGTCCACGAAACCGTAAGTTTCGAAATTCGCTTACTGTTTCGTCATTTCGTTTACTGTTTCGCGTTTTGTTTTTTATTTTTTTTTTGTTTTTTTCATTTTTGACATTCAAAACCTACGGTTTTTTAAAATCTACGGTTTTCCCAAACCGTAGGCTACGGTTTTCGCAAAAAAAAAACGTTTTTTTTAGAGGGGTTTTATCTATTATTTTGGTAAAAAAAACTACGGTTTTAATTTTAATTTTTATTTATTTATTTATTTATTTATTTATTTTTGTAATATAAAGTATAAAAAAGAGTGTTTATAATATGTACAATAACTTTAACAATTATTTTGTTTAAATTTTAACAATTATTTTGTTTTAATTTTAACAGTAGTCAACTCTGAAGAAAAGAGTAGACTACTTTGTTGTTAAATTTGAGTATTGTTTTGTTAAACTTGACTACTGTTTTCAATCTATCTTATATATTTGGTATTTTATATTTTTGGAAAATTTATTCTCTCTAGCTTCTTAATTGTCAAATTTAAGATAATGAGTTGTAACGAGTATTTTGTATTGCTCATTATGGATGGAAGATGAGAGTTTGTTAATTCCCAATTATCATATGTTTGGCCACTGGGATACAATCCGAGAATGTTTTATTTAGGTGTTGAATTTTACGAAAACACAACGTTCACCGAATTTGTTCAGTTGGTCAAGTGCAAGATGGGTCTTCCCGAACAATCAAAAGTTAGTTTGGCCTATCAACATCCAGAACAACTCTATTATTGTGGTATTGTTGATGATCGTAATATTAGAAAGCTGATAAAGGTAATAAATGGCGTTGGAGATAAATATGTGTCTGTGTATGTGGTGGTTGAAGAAGGCGTTTGGCCGAACGAAATGGATGATAGCGGAAAGGCATCTGCAGCAAATTTATCAAGTTGAAAAGAGAGCAACAATCCAATATGTAATTTTAAAAGTTCAAGTAAAAGTCATTAGTATAGTGTTGCTGAAAATGTAAATGTAGTGCAAGAACCGATTATGTATGTTACACCGGAGAATTATAAGTATATCGGTGATAATGATGTTGGTACATATGTTAATGATGTTGGTGTAAATGAATCATTTGACAAAAAAAGCAGTAGTCGTGGTGAATAAGGTTGGTAATGAATTTGGAAAACAAGAAGTTCCGTTTTTGCATGATGGTGAACTAAAAGGATATGACGAGTTTGTGGATTGTGACAAGTTAGATATATCCGGCCTAGATAGTGATTCTAATGGAGAAGAATTAGATGACGAATCTAAGCTTATTTATTCATATACCATGTTTCATGGTATGCCCCCTTTGCCTTCATGTCCTGTAAACGCTGATGTGAACATTCCATGTCAGATGGTGGATATAAGTGACGAGATTAACGTTTTAGACATTTTTGATGACAAAGAGTTGCTCAAGCTTGCAATCGGAAGACAATGCATGGAACAAGGTAAGTAGTATAAGACTACAAGATCGAGCAAAGGAAGGTTCGAGGTTGTTTGTTTGGTTAAAAATTGCTCATGGATGGTTAAGGCAAGGGGAATCCAATCGACTACTGCTTTCCAAGTCACAAACGTTGTTGACCAACACACATGCTGTGTGACAAATTTGGAGTCTAATCATTGACAATCAAAGAAAAAGGTACTTGACCACTTTATCGTTGAAGTATTGGCCGGAGACTATAATAGAGTTTATCGGGGCAATGAAATTGTTAGGGACATCAAATCAAAATTTCCAATCAATATCTCATACCAACAGGCATGGCGTGCAAAACAGTATGCGTTATTGATGTTAAGAGGTACCAAAGAGGATTCATTCACCAAACTACCAGTGTATCTGCACAACTTGGTGAAGCACAATCCAGGAACTGTTACTCAGATAAGCGTAGACAATGATGATCGGTTTGAGTTCGTGTTTATCGCGTTGGGTTGCTCAGTAAGCAATGTTAATTTTTATAACAAATATAACATATGAATCCTAATTGGTATTTCTTAATGCAATAAAAAATAATTGTAGGTATGAGCGTTCATCAAATATTGTAGGTTGACCCTAATAATTGATGGTGGTCACCTAAAGGGTGAATTCAAAGGCACGATGTTGCTCGCAGTGACAATGGACAGTCAAAACCAAATAATGCCTGTTGCTTATGCCATTTGCAAAAGTGAATGTGTTGAGATGTGGTCCTGGTTCCTTCGAAAGCTACGTGAATGTATAGGCAACTTGGAAGACCTTACAATCATATCTGATAGGGCTCCATCCATAGCGCCGTCAATTGCAAATATATTTCCTCACGCCTATCATGGAATGTATGGTATCCATTTGTATTTCAACATTTCAGCAAAATTTGGAAGTAGCGATACAATGCACACATTATTTTGGGAGAAATGCAAAGTGTATACCATTAAAAAATTTGATAATGGGATGAAAAAAATAAAAAATGTAAATATTCGTGTATGGGAATACCTACAAAACATCAACCCAGAAAGATGGGCCATGATACATTTTCCTGGGAATCGGTATTTCTTATGATATCAATTAGTGCGGAGTCGATAAATTCAATGTCACGATTTGCAAAAAAGATTCCAATATTGATGTTGATTGAGTATTTTCGTGCAACAATGCAACAATGGAGTTTTCAGAAACGTAATGTTACAGATACTAATATTTTATATACATTGTTGATTGAGTATTTTCTTAACTCGTGTAGTAATAATTTTATGAAAAAATATGTCTATTTTTTTAGCTGAAACTAAAACAACACTCACCCAATGGGTTGAAGCGATTATACAAGCAAATAAGAATGCTTGTAATAATTGGATGGTGTACCCTATCTCAAATAGCAGATTTGAAGTGAAAAGCTCTAACCACAAAAGTGTCATTGTTGATTTCCAACAAAGAACCTGTACATGTAGGCGGTGGCAAATAGATGGCTTAGCTTGTGGCCATGTTATAAAAGTGCTGACAATGAATCGTTACGAAGATTGTTCGGAATTCGCTTTGAAAGCTTACTTTACAGAAACATTGAGGAAAACTTACGAGGAGTCTGTGAACCCCTTACCAAGTCCATTTGAGTGGGAGATCCCCGATGATATGATGACCGTGAAGCCACCCATTATGGAGAGACGTCAGTCGAGTAGGCCAAGAAACACTGGACGTATTCCGTCGCAAGGTGAGCGTCCCATATGACAAGAATGTTCTACATGCGGTCAATTTGGACACACTAGGAACGATTGTACGGGTAGGGGATCGGGGAGCGGATCTGGGGGGAGGAAAAAATCTACACAAACGGGCATAATGACTGATGAGTTTGCATCTAGGAGCGGGTCACAGAACAAAAGCGTGTACCCTACTTTTGATTTCAATAGTACATTTAATTTGAATTGTCCTTAGATTAATGTAGGAAAGCAATGAATTCCCGTATTTGTAATTTGTATTGCTTGTATTAAAAAGCACTTATGAGATTATTAATTAAATCTAGTACTCCACTTATTAACTCCTTTATTCCATGAAAAGTAAAACACAAACATAAAACATTATAGAAATCGAGATATACCCTTACGAAACATTACATAAGACATTTCACATAAAAGAGCCTTCTACATGAAACATTTGTTATTTTTAAGTAGGATCCATGCATCCTCATACTCGAAGTCACTTCCCTCCTTCACGATTTTTTTTTCTACGACCAACATCATCATCCTCGTTTACTCGATTTGAATTTGGCGGACTACCGAATTGTTCGTTCACCGGGCTTGTCATCCGATAACTACCTCCCACATCTTCATTCCCTTACATTTAAACGAAAAATAATTTAACAAATAATTATTTTACCTCGAAACCTTCGTTAAGAATTAATAGTAAATTTATAAAATGAAATATTTTACCCCAAACGTTGCGTCAAAAAATTCATTATTGTCATTCCGTTTTTCAAATCCCTCTTTACATTTTATTCCTTGGATTTCTTCCTCCAAGCTTTGAAGTCATCGGCTGTTTCCACAGGATGGATCAGATGAAGATGCTCCCTACATAAATTTTTTAATATATCAATAATAGTTGACAATTTTTTATTATACTAGATACTACTTTTAGTATTTTATTTACATCTTTTCTAAAGTTGAAGAGTACAGAAGAAGGGACTTCTGGCGATTCAGGATTCAGACTAGAAATATATGTCAAGTAATGTGGAGTAGATAACTCGACATCTGAGGCAATCATCTTTCTTTTCGGTTGATGTGCCTCGTCCTAGTCAACATCGAAAAGATTGCAAACTTTCTCCCATGTTAACCTCGTAAGGTGAAACCACCGCAACATATGAGGATATACATTGTTTCGTCGTATCGCATCATTCCCTCGAGCTAGTGGGAACATCTGCCATATCCATATCGTGTAATAAATATACATTAATATATAAGAGTTAGCAATAACTAACAGGGATTATGAAAAAATAAAAACCAATAAATTAAAAATTATATTTTTACCTTCAACAGAATAACAAAACCGGATAGTGTATACACACAAGGTTTTGTGGGATGTTTGTACATATGATCCTCAAATTTCTTAAACATACCCGACAATCTAGGGTATGTTTTACTCCATAGGTAACTCCCCTACAAGAACCTATACTATATGCAACACTATTAGTTAAACATATAAAAAATAGTATTTTTTTATAATATTAAATTGATAAATACCTGTTCCATTCATCCAGGTTCTCCACCACCCACATAAATTCCTTCGTGACTTTGTCTTTGGGTTCTTTTCCCAAAAAACCTTGATTGGGGATATATAGCAAAATCGCAAGGACAACATCGTCAGTTGATATCTCATTGAACCGTCGGTTCAAGATAAGTAGCTCTAAATCTTCTACAGGTAACGCAGTGTCCGTGCGATATGGGAAGACTCTGGACCGAAATGTATTATCACCGTATTCGTGATTATACATGGTTGAAAATTCGATCCCTGAAGTAGGAAAACTCCCCATGTAAAGTCCCAAGACAATACAAAACTCTTTCGGCCCAAATGATAAAGAACATCTAGAAAACATGAAATGTAGACGCTCAGCTGCATCACTTTCAGGGGTAGGACGCAACATGTGAAGTAGTAGGGTATGAATAAGTAGTCCATCTCCGGACTGAGCCGGTAGATCCAAGAGGTAACCAAAGCTAGTCCTTGAAAATATCTCTCGAACCGGCCTAATCAACCGACTCAAAACTTCATGCAACTTGTGACATGAAGCTTTCACAGATATATTGCATGTCATCTTTTTGTTAGGAAGCTACTAAATAAATAAAAAATAAAGTTCAATAAGGTTTTATAAAAAAAAGTGTTGGAGTATCACACAATAAAACAGTTAAATATTTCATATAATCTATTTACTTTCTATAAAATACCAAAGTAAATTATTTTACACAAAATTTTGTCTTTTCTATACTACATGTGTACAAAAAATAGTATTGTATTTTAAAAATGGTGTGACAAAAACATATTTTATAACAAACCCGAAACTACCAAAACACAATGCTATTTTATCAATACAGTATAATACAAAGTATCTACACATTATACACATAAAAACTTCTTCAAATAGATACTACATTGCTATTATATGCTATAATTGAGACATAGAAAATAACACCATTTTTAACAACATGCAAAACAGTGAATCATAAGATAAATACAAGGGGATACAATCGTTACAAATACGTTTAAACAATTTTTTTTTAATAAAATTGAAAATAAAAAATATATATAAAACCATACATTTTAGGAAACCTACAATTTTTTTTTCCAAAAAAAATCATAAGATATATACAAGGGGATACAAATGTTTATTGACTGTTAAATTTATTTTAATTAAAAAAAAACGGTTTGTTTGTGAAACCGACGGTGTACAAGTGTTTACTGCACAAACTGTGCAGTAAATACTTGTACACCGTAGGTTTCTAATAAACCTACGGTTTCCTTTTTTTTTTTTTTTTTTTTTTTTAATAAAAAAATTATACCACAACAAAATACATTCAATTCCTATTCTATTGATACCATTTAAAAAAAAAAGACAAAAAAAAAAATGTCCGTACGATTTCATATGAAACCTACGGTGTACAAGTCGAAACTGCACAAACAGTGCATTGGGCACTTGTACACCGTAGGTTGCATATGAAACCTAAGGTTTTATATTTTTTTTTCAATTTTTTTCAAAAAAAAAAAATTATCCCCATAAACAAAACCTACTCCTAATCACAAACATGGTAAAATTTTTAAGAAAGTAGACAAACCTGATTGTTCTTCGGGTGCTCCATTGAGAGAAAACCGTAGCCTAATAATAGAAAAACAATAGAAAAATGATCTAATCTGAAAAAATTTCATTATATACTTTGAGCTAATGAGTCACGAAAAAGTAGACGACTCCTTGAAACAGTAGCCCATTAAGGGAAAAGAGTAGTCAACGGACGTTGACCGTAGTCATCCCCTGTTGATCGTAGTCAACCGAACGTTGACTACTTTTTTGTGGGCTATTTTTGGCTAAATGAGTTTTTTTAGCTATTTTTTGGTAAGTAATTAGGAAAAAATGTTAGTTTTGTAATTTCCCTCCAAAAAAAAAACATTAATTTACTTTTAAATCAACAAAAAACAACGTTAAACCCAAACCATTCCTTTAAAAAGAAAATACATAATATACTTTTGTATATTGTAAATTTGTTACATAATGTTCATCATTTTATTGACTTAGATTACATTAAGGTACAAATATTTGTGTGCATGTGTGCATGAATGACTCCCGTTGAACTAGTTTTAGTTATCTATAGTGAATCTTTAATAACTTCGTGAATTTATAAGGATATATTTACAAAGTGTTATTAGTCAAAATAGTTAATATGAAAAATATTAAAGTTTTACAAAATTTTGGTGTAATATGATAAAGAATGAAAAAACAATAGAAGAAAAAGTCCCTACCCCAGCGGTATTGCTGCCGTTGAAAAAAATAAAGAATATATAACGATGCAATGTACACAAAGATACATTAAGGTTGTGTTTGGCGTACCACAGCTAATTGATAATCTAACTTATTTTTCGAGTTTTTTTTTTTTATGCTGTCGTGTTTGGTAAGCCAAAAAGTAGCTTATAAGTTAGTTTTTTGAAAAACTATTTAGACTTGCTTTCTAAGAGTTTATTTATTTATTATTTTTTTTTTATTTTCAAACACCCTTAATTAATTATAGAAACGCATACTCTCACATTACTCTCACATATCCTTTTATATAATGTTATATATTTCAGCTAGTTTTAACAAACGTTATTTCTTATTAGCTAACTTTTCAGCTATCAGCTAGCTTTTTATTTAACAGCTAGTTTTTCAGCTATCAGCTGACTTTTAATTAGTACGCCAAAGATAATCTTAATTAGATACATGCACCGTATTCACATCCGTTGACACAAATATGAGATTTAAACTTAAAATCATTAACATATAAAAAAACATCCCTTTGGTAAATTGGTTGAGAAGAAATTACACGCATATGTAGTGGGTAGCTAGCTAGGTGAGCGAATGGTGACATATGTTGTTAGAATTTACATTAAAACTTTTTAATTGCTCTATATATAGGACTAGATAGATCATTTTATATTTTTATTATATCCCCTTGTATATCTATAGCTTTTCCATTAGATGGTCGTGGTTTTACTTTTTATTATATCCCCTTGTATATCTATAGCTTTTCCATTAGATGGTCGTGGTTTAACTTTTCAAGTGATTATCTCTTAATTAATATGATTCTATATGTTGATATTTGTAAAAAGAACAATTAATACAAAATAGGTTCTTATATAATAAATTAAACGCTTCTAGCTATATTTAATTTTGTGAGAGGAAATTAAGACGAAGTTTTTCAGGTGGCATGCAGTGATGCATGCTGCATGCATGCGTCCTACACAGCTCAAATTACAGAATAAAGACATTAATTATATCACGATTTTAATTTATCTTCCCAGAGGTCGAGTCAATATTCGAAAAATCTTTGCTCGTTCATTTCAAGCAAGGAGAAGACTTAACGAGTTATCTTCACGAATTATCATATAATTTATTACATATATAACCAGTCATGAAGAACCTTTTTTCTTCTCCAAGCTAGCTTAGCTCGTTTGCTTACCTAGTTCTCGTATTAATTTAGTGACTCTTCTTCATTTTCTAGGTTTAATTACTTGAGTCTTGGGATATGTTGTTGTCGATTTGGTCAATCTGAAAACATCATTATTTATGTACAAAAAGCCATTTGAACATTTGTCGTACGTAAAAAGCTAACCCCAAGAAATTGGAGAAGAGATACCTTTCAGCCCACATTTGCTCCTCCTTTCCACACCTCGTGCATGACTGGGTCTTATACTTAGGCTTGAAGTATGCAGTTGATGACGGGAGTTAACTATTGCAATAAGAAAACTGCAACTTCCATGCAAATGAACAATTACTATATGAAATTGAAATTTTAGTTTAGAACATTGAAGTTATAATTTTTTTTTTTTTTTTTTGCTATGATGAGAAAACTATTTTGTTTAAATAAAATATTGCTATGGTTGAAAACCATATTGTTTCAGATTCTTTATTTTGATCTTGAAATAAGAAGGATCGTATACCATTTATGAATATCGCCATCCAAAGGATAACAACGAAAGCCAAAATCTCGCCTTATCATTGGATCGAATCCGTTAAGTACAACTTCATCTTTTCTTCCATCGACAACACAAATAATTTTCGTACCTAACAATTGCATGTTCTCTATGATTTCATCAGGCACACCAGTAACTTATTACTTGACTAATTAGTCATTATGTCAAAAAAAAAAAAAAAAAAAAAAATCAATTCCATCATGTAACAAATAAAATAATTCAAAAGTCGGTGATGAACCTAGAAAAGCTATATCTTTGACAATCATAGCCAATTTGCTAGATTATGAGACATTTATCACTATTATTGATAATCGGTATGATTGTTAAAAGGGAAAATGACACATATGATCTATGAATTTTCTAGGATTTAGTTTTTAGTCAATTAATTTTTTAAGTGACTTTATGAAGGAACAAACTTTTTTTTTTGGTCGATTACGTCATTATTTCATTTATGAAGGTGTCAGCCGGTCATATTTATAACAACTGTGTTACTTAAACTCCTTGGCCTGCTGACTGTGTATATTGTCCATTGCCATTTCATTAAACAATGCCACATATTAATTTGTTCACTCACTGTTCATTACATAACTTTACTTAAACGAGATCTTTTTCCGTCGACTGTTCACAACTTCCATTTCTTTCGATGAACCCTTACTTGCTTTCGTCTCTTCAAACCTCAAACATGGATCCCATATTCATCCAAGTCAATGTGCACTTCCAAGGATCTTCGCAAAATACCTCATACGCTACACTGGGGAGATCACTCAGAGGTTATCGGGCATCGATTTTGCAGGCATGGATAAGAACGGGTGTTATGAGTTTCTCAAAATGTTTACTGGAGAAAAGTGTTTGAAGCTCTAATACTGCCAACCAGATATTGATTTCCTAAAGGTTTGACCTTAATTTCCAATAAGATGGATTATGCCGATTTTATAGCAATAACTTATGAATGTGGTGTTATACTCCTTATGTATGTTGACCATTTTGGTAATAGTAACATGCAAGAATGGTTGGATGAACACAAAGAAGTGGTTGTTGATAACATAGTGGAAGAAGTGATTGATGATGCATGACTAATTAAGGAAATTGAGAAAGACCATTTGGATGAGGATGATGATGAAGACGAAGATGGGGATGAGGATGAGGATGACCATGGGGCTGAGGATGTGGATGCTGATGAAGGTAAGAATGGCTATAGCAACCCTCATTTTTTTCAAAAACGATAATGGGCCTAATGTCGATATGGGTGAGAATGAGGTTTGGGTGAGCCTTAGGAAGAAGCCATGGATGACAATGAAGATGTTTATTTTGAGTTGCCAAATATTTTCAATGAAAAGCTGCACTGGAAGGAGCAGGAACCTGTGTTAGGTATGAGGTTTGAGAGTCCTAAACAATTGAAACATATGCTCTGTAACTATGTTGTTCCAAATGGTTATCAATTATGTTTTGTGAAAAATGATAGTAGACGGTTGCTAGCCAAATGTTGTGATGGAAAATGTACATTTAGGGTTTGGGGTTCATGGACGAGTGATGATAAGTCTTTCCAAATCAAGTCTCTTATTAGTGACCATAATTGTGCAAAGAATTTCAAATTCGGAT